CTCTTGAGATGCATTGCGTTAGTTCAAGGCTGTCCGGGCATGCTCAGATGAACTTTGAGTAGATTCTGTTCATTAAGAATGACTCACCCGTTGCCCGTATTATTACATGGATATAAAATCGCTAGATCACTGGATGCTGTCTTTGTCCGAGTTATCTAAGATGCTGTTTCTGACTTGATTTTCAGGGTAGCAGAATCAACTGAGGAGGTGACCAAATTAAGGCCAGTGCGTCTCGTACAAGAGGACGGCATCATACGGCCCTACGACCACCATGAGTCGGGGGGCTATGACCTCTTTCAGGTGAGGTCACCTGTCAACCCTAGTGACCAGGCTACTAAACCCCGATGAGAAGGATTAAATTCAGCATGACCCTCTGTTTTAATTTAACAACTACTAACAGACAAATTGTTTTGAAGGACTGGAGTCAGTTTGACAGATTAAGGCAACACACTACAGGCTAAACCAATGGGTTTTGTTTTTTTTCATGGACTGCTCAATTTTGAGGATTTGGGGCTATGTCTTCTTTCAGACTAGTTGGGAGAAAAATCCATATTTAAGTGTTTATTTTATCTTTTTGTGTCTATGGATTTTGATTACAGTACATGCCTGTACAAACCCTAAAGTCTGTTTTCTCAAAAAATATTTCTCAGTCATTGTGCCAGAAATTTCCACTTACGTATACAAAACCAGTATTTCCAGTATTCTCTATTCAGTTTTTTACACATTTTATCCTTAAAAACATGATAGTTTTTGTCTTCTGATGGTTGACATTAAACATTATATTGATAAAAGGAGATATCCAAAATCCACTCTATAAAAACATTTAACTCTAATGTGTCAACTCTGATTGTGTCAACAATGTTCAGATTTTTTTTTTTTACCCCAAATGTATTTTTTTAATGATTTTTAACTGTGGTGTTTTGCCTTAAACTCAAACAAATTCCAAATCCTAAATTATGTAATCAAAATTATGTGTTCTTAATCGAAACTGATCTTAAACTCAAAAGTTGAACTGACTCCCTGCTGTGAAGAAATGAATTTCTGTTTTAACATTTCGTATTTTCTCTCTTTTCTGTCCTTTCCCAAATGCAGCCTGAGGAAATGTAAAATGGGAGTGGGAGATGGGATTGGGATTATTATTTTAAATATCTCTGTTACTAAAAACTTTTAAGATATTGTTGCACTTAACCAAACTGGATATTCAGTGCTACATCCAGTCTAGCCTGGTCCACCTACAATGGAATGTCTCATTATTGAGTTTAGGAAATTACATAATATCCTAAGTCTGCATCTGAAGTTGTCTGTCTTGTGCACCTTTACAGCTTTGCTACTTTTCTTATCTAGAAATTTTGTATTTTATTTGTCTCTATTCATTTTGCCAAAAATAATTTCAGCGTTATACCTCAAACATTTTTATTATATTAGTTTTATATCACTGTATCCTTTATTTAAATTTAATTTCCTAAATTTAAGAAAACAATGTAGGAATTAAGACTTCAAAACCATATGATGGCAAACAATAATAGATTTTCCGTTTTAATATTTAAATAACTATTGGATTTGTTTTGAATAGGATATGGAGCTGGCAAAGTTTGTCTATTTTTCTAAACGTCATTTTAATTTCTTTAAACTAATGTCTGTAAATGCATTTCCATGCATCTGAACTCTGACAACATAAAATTACATCTATATAAAATATGACATAATGTTTATTCTTACTCATTGTGAATACATCAATCAAATGTGCATATTGGTATATGCAACCTCATTTATATGCAATAAATAAATAGGCATTTTACAGTGCATGTTGGAATTAATGTCTGATGTATTTTCCTATATACTTTATAGTATATTTATCTTATATACATAACACATTGTTCATAATTGTCATGTAATCATTTGTTTTAATGTGGCTTTTCTGTGTTGTAATGGTGTTAAGTGAAGAGCTTGCTTGACTCCTGTGATTAACCTGGAATAAATCAATACTCCTCTTTGACATGAAATGATGATCATTTTATGCATTTCAGATGATTTATGATTTGTTAATTTGACAATGATTCTGATTGTTATTGCTGAAAGAGAATACATGCTGAGCCATAAAGAAGCATGTGACATACTTTGTGTATAGTGCCGCATGAGTGTGTATGTTTTTCAGAGGTCTGAAATTAAACAGTTGGATGGAGAGATCTTCAGAGAACACTATGAGTACCCAGGGCACAGAAAAACAAACATCATTATCACCAACAGGTATTCCAACAACAGGAAAATGATGAAACGGTGACACTTTCCTCATTTTCTCCCTTTTCCATGTGCTGTGTTGGTTTCTTTTTCATTTAGGAGAGTGATGTGTGTGAAGGAGATCGATGTGATTGGACATTTCAATAAAGAATGGGAGTGTCAGTTTGAGAATTTCCTAAGGCCTCCAAGTGCAGAGGGAGGAGATTTGAAGATATATTACCGGGTACATAAATGCTACTTTTAGTATTAGCAGATTGAGAATTATACAGGCTTTCTAACTGATGTATGGTGAATAAAAGATCATTGCTTGACAACAATCTTGATGTTGGTGCAGGAACAGAACAAATTGAACCTCATTAGGAAGGATGGACAGGTGCTAGTGAAGGTGATACACATGCAACATGCTGACATGGCTGAGGTAAACATCACAGGCAAAATGTTTTGTTTCGTTAATGTAATTCCATTCAAGTGAAAATGACAGGCACAATTTCAATGCCCAGTGTAGAATATGGCACTGGGCTTTTTATATTTAGCATGCTATTTCATAGATTTTAAGCTGTGATCAAGGTGGTCACATGGGTTGCAGGCTCACATTTGCTTTAAAAAAGTACATAGCTATCAAAATGACTGCATTTCATTTTCTGTCAAGAACAAACTGGCCTGTTTGACCTCTTTTGCTTCACACTCCACAGAGACTACGAGAAGGAATCGACAATGCCAAGTTTTCACGCAAGCAATATCAGATGGCAAGACAGAAATCTCAGCGCTTCATCAAAATGGGCAAAACTTAAACCAGTCGAACTACGTAAACTTGTGGTCACATCTCCTAAGATTATTATACTGCCTTGCATTCAAAGAATCAGTTACTGTGTATTTGTTTTGGTTGTTTGGCAAATGTATTAGTGAAATTTACTGAAGTTTTAAATGTATTTTGGAGTTAGAAGACTTTCTAAATCTAAGCACTTTGACTTGTGTTATCTTGTTTTGTTTGATGTCTTGAAAACAAATATGCTAAAAGAGATAATTTTGTTGTCTATATACAACTTTAATGTGCAATGTGAAGCTTGTCCAGTTTGGCTCACTTACCTTGATTATGAATCCTGTCAAAAAAGAAGACAAAAAGCTGACATACTGTACATATATATCTTTTCTAGATCATCCTTCCACAGGTGTTGCTTAAATTTACTCAACAAAGATGCATAAAATTGCTCTGCACTTAAAAAATTATAACATTCAAATGTTTTGTTTTCTTTTGTATTGTTTTAAAAGAACACATATGCCTCTTTTGTCCCTTGCACTGCACTTGAAACATTACTTGTTTGTTTTGTACGTAACCATGACATGATTAAAGGGTGCGTGTCTATATGGCAAGGAAATGTATTGTACTGTATTCCACAGTTTTCCCACAATGATGTAGGCTACAGTGATATAGTGTCAAAGCACCTGGCAATGGCTCCTCTCCAAGTTGCTAAGTGACTCGGCTTCCTGGATGTGGGTGCAAGTGACTCCTATTGGCCTGGTGTGGGCAGGAAAGGAGAGGTTGGTTATCCCATGCCCTCTGCGGTGGGTCTTTCCATGTCCTCCTATTTCCTATGCATCAGTATGCCAGACATACGCCCACAGGTCAATGCCACAGTGTTACAGTTACAGCTGTAACAGCTAAAGATGCCAAAAACATGATGAATAATCTAAACTAATCCAATGCAAACACAAGGAATGTCAGGCTTTACATAAGAATTTCCTGATCTCATCAGTTTCTCTGGATAAAAGCAATTGTTTTAGAAGCATATTGTGTTTTGCAACAGACCATGTCAACATAGTCACTGTGTAAACTAAAGTATTGCACCTGGATACAACTTTAGTGCGTTTAGAACTTTAGATAATCACATAGTTAAGTAATGGAAATTTTTGGTTTAAGGGCATTTATAGAATAGAGTTCTTATGTAAGAGCCAACTGAACCAATATTGAGATTTTTTTTTTAATCTAGGCTAAACGTTTTTAAACTAATGGTCTATTGTGCATTACATAGGGTACATACTTTTCATGATTAAAGTTATTATTGTAATCTAGCAAATTAGCTGTTAATGCTAATGAAAACAAATTGGGTCTAAAGGTTGCAATTCTCAGTAAAAACACACTTTTAGAAACTCGAAAAGACTGTCAGCAGCAGGATACCTAATACAAGTTTTGGGCTTTAAAATAAATCTGTTGTTTGTTTGTCTTATATATAGTCTTTCTAGAAAGCCCACATAATCCTTCAACACAACATGACGACAACGTGAAGCTCACGCACTGCGCCTCGCCTGGAGCTGCGTTCAGCGGAAGTACGTCAGCAGCATGTTCGTTCATCACATGTCAAGCATGCTGCCTGTCTGTTGTGTCGGTTTGTGTGTAGGGGAAATTTAAGATGGGCATGCAAGTCTAGACGAGACAATCTTTTATTTACTGATTAAATGCTTATTCACCAATAATAACCTGCATTTTGGGACAAGCGACTTCAAATTTTGACAAAGATGAATTGTTAAATTGTCATAAAGAAAAATCACCCACATTTTCCATTCAATTGTCGATGTGAGTAGATCTATCAAAGATTTTACTTGTCTTATTAGTGAACGAAATCGTTCTGTTGAGTCGGATCTTTTTACCTTTTGAACTCGTTTCGAAATGAGTTTAATTCAATTTTACAATAGTAAAGTACAGGGAAATAAAGTTTATTTATTTTAATGAGCTTTAGGATTTTTACTTATTCAAAATTGTAGTTTATTAAATGAAAATTGTATCTAAATTAGCCTATTTTTGTAAGCTGAGTCGTGGCTGCAAACTGAATTTGGTCGTAAGAAATGGCTATAAACTGCTATGTTAATAAAACTTAAACAAATGTGCCACATATGGCTTTACTGGAATGTTTTAGAGAGCATGTCAATAGTGTGTTTGGCGTGACCATGTCTCGCGCTCAACAGCGCTGTCTGTGGACAGAATAGCCACACCCGCTCCCATGAACACTGATCTGTCACACGCTCAAGTGCAATCCGAACCAAAAGACGATGTAAAACGAATCCGAATTGTACTACAAAGCGATCCAATTGTAAACGTAACTGAAAGCCGCAGATGAAGATGGAGTCTCCGCCAGAGTCCGTCACGGTGCCGTGCAAGAGCGCTGAAGCGGGCGCTTCGGTGGAGGACAGCCCGGTGAAACTGGACAGCAAGGCTGAAACCGACAAACCAGCTCCAGTTCGGCGGCAGAGTTGCTCAAGTACCAACAGGGGTAAGCTTGAAGAACAGAACCAAAGCCTGCTTGTGGATTATTTTCAATCTTATTCAAGTTCACGGAGATCAAATTTTGAGTTTAATAAACTCCAGTCCTTGCATGTGACCTGTTTCACATTAGCTCTGAATTAACAATGGATTAAACGCATTAAATGTGTTATTTTTCATATATGGAGGCCTGGTGGTTGTCTAGCTAGCTCATGCACGCTTAGTGCAAATTAACTAATGGGATAATACACACATTTTGTTAGCGAGCCCAAACATTACTGGCCACTGGCTAACCTGTCATATCTGATCTATTAGCCTACCCACATGCTGTTTAATCGAACTGTTGTCATTTTTCACGAGTGTCTCTTCTTTATCTACTCCTGCTATCATTGTGCATGTTCGATAGACAGCAGTGTGGCCAACGTACGTGTCCATATGTTTCAGTTGGCTTCTAATAATACACATTGACAATGACAATGCAACGTCTCTTCCACTAAATGTTTTATCATTCACTAAGCACAGACGAGAGAATATTTGCATAGAGAAGTGGTGATTTCTAGTGTGTAAATAAGCATAGTGCCGTTTTTTTACATGGGACTGCCACACCCCTTTTGTATGTTTCTGGGGATACAAGTCAAAGAAAGATCGGTTAATGTGTCATTCGGTACGGTAGATTCTCATAGTTTACATAGTCGGAGCAGATTTCAGGTCCTCTTGGCTTTGGCAGTCGTGGCTGTGCTTTAAAACCTAGTGTAGCTTCCAACCTTAGTAGCATTTTTGAGCATCACATGCTACTATGTACCCTTCAAATGCTGTCTAAATAGGCAGTTTATTCGGTATTGAGACGCCGTCCGTGTGTCTGGCAGGCATTGCGCTGTGTTTGCGTGTGTGTGGAGCGCTGTTATGTAACAGGTTAAGTCACACACTGAAGGAGAGGATATGAAGGGATATTTTCACATTTTTACTGCTCGTGTAAACAAATGGGGTTTCATGCCTGACTACTTCGGGTTTTAAATGTGTAGCTCGCTGTTATTTTTCCTGTTTGTTGACACGATTGATCGTTTTCTCTTCGCGGATACACTGTCGCGCTGTCCGGTTACGTAACTGAAGAAAGGAGGCAGGTACGCTTATGTATCCGGCCGCTCGAGGAGTTTCAGTTGGACTGAGAAAAAAGGGTCTGACACTCCTAACCCGCTAACCTATATTTTCAAATGCTCCTGCTTGGTTAAAATAACTTTCTCTGACATTTGGCCAAATGATTTTCCCAGTAGGCCTATTGAAGAATAATTTACCGGTGCGTGCGTGGAGAACAAATATGGTTTTACACTGGGCGAGGTTTAAAAAGCAGATAGAAATGATTTAGGATACAATTATAAAATAAAAATCCACATTAAATCCCTGGATGGTCAACATAATTATCAGCCACTGTAATCCCTCTGGCTGTCTTTCCATAGTCAATTCATGAAAATAGTTCACTGGCATTGACCCATGTGAATTTTATGTTACTTTCAAACATTATGAAAGTTGAGCAAAACATTTAGCATGAAATGAAAATTCACCGTATATATTTTGTAAATTCATCTTCGTCTTATTGTGAATGGTTCATCGATCCATATGTTTCATTTTTAAGAATTTTTTTTGTGCTAAATTTTTAATCAAAATGTCATAAATTACTGTGAAACAACAGACTTCTCTTTAGTGACATATACTGGACTTCTCCAATCATTTAGTCTGCTTAAACCTCCTTACCCACTTCTTACAATTAACTGCAAGCTAGCATTCAGATGCTTCATCCATTTAACAACTGATGGATAAAAACAAAACCCCACCCTACATTTTTTTTCTTCTCCATAATTTTCTCTCTGGTATCAAGTACTATGGGGCTAAAGGCAAACCTTAAGAAAAATGTGCTTTTCACATTTAATACGTCTAATACTTCCTTAATACCCAAAACAATCACTTTAGCAAAGTTTGTACAATTTTGTTTTTGACAAATAAAAACAAATATTTTACAGTATGACAGTATATTTTTTCAATATACTGTCATTAAAATATGTTAATATAAAAATAAAATTATTTTGAAAAGTAAAGATTCTGCAAGCATTGAAGGAGATCCGTCAATAATTGAATATAGGTTTACAGTAGTAAAAATGAGATGATTAATATCAAATTTTTAAATATAATTGTTTCATTATAAATATGGTGATTATCTCTAAGGTGGACACCCAATTTAAAAGGTAAATATGATATTTACCATCTGAATCTATCCATGTCTGGTCAACAAATGGAAAAGTCAGCCAGTTATTTATTATCATGTTAATTATTGTGATTTTCGCCCCAACAGCAGGGACGCCTTTTACCCCAAATACCATATTTTAACACATGCTTCCATTATTGAAAACTGTTGCTTTATTTGCCTTGAATAAAATTGAGAACTTGTGCTGCTGCCTGCGATCATATCAATGATCCATGTCCATCTTGAAAAGCGGATGCTTTGGAAAGTGCTGTGACAATTTTTTGTCATCTAGTGGTTATTAAAATCAAAGGCGCCTTTTCCCCGGTGCGCCTTTGGCCCCATTGTGCCCTACACCACAGTACAGAAGAAAAAAATTGTGACTAAGATTATTCAGATTTTATTCCTCATACCCAGGGCCAAACCATGGGAATTTTGTCATTATTTACTCGCACTCATGTTATTTCAAACCTTATTGACATTTTTTTCCAAATTCTTCAAAATATCTACATTTGTCATTTTTGGGTGAACTATACCTTTAAGGAGTTTTCTTCAGTCCCAGGCAGCAGCTGAGACTCTTCCACTCAACAGTCACTCTAAAAGCTCCATGTTTTACACCGCACAGGGACTACCTACCCGAGATGATATTACATAACCTCTTGTGCTGCCTCAAATTCTTCACCCCAGTGGAGTTGGTGGGCCTCAGGGTGGACAAGTGACTACACTCTAGCACAAAAATGTGCAAGGCCATTGCTGAGCATCTTCTGTCTACTTGAGTCTGTTGTGTAGTGAGGCGCAAGATTGTGCTCAAATGCAACAAATAAACGAGAAGGGGAGCTGTATTACATGTCCAAGCTATGGACTTCATTTGAAGGAGAATGATGCGTTGGCTAGGAACGATAACAGTGTCTACTTGAATACAGCAGTCATTCTGTATAATGTGTTAAGGTGTGTTCACACCAGCCATGTTGGAATTTCCAATCCTCATAAAAGTTATAACTACAACCTGTATATTCCAGGGGTGTAACAAGATATTGTGTTACAATACAATATCTGAGATATAAAAATGCTGAGATTTTGAGATTTGGTGTCGATACTACATTAAACTACTATATATAATGTTGAATATAATGTATAATAATGCAATGTGATAATATTTGTGGGTCCTCCTCATAATGCCAAATGTCTTATATTACCTGTAAAAAGTGGCCTACATAATTTTAAATATATTGAGTCAGTGACAGAGTGGAATTTTCATCTAAAATAATTCTGTATTTTTAGCTTCAGAATCATGAATATTGTTATTCTGGTGGCACCATTGTCCTGTGCATTGGGTTACCAGCACCTTTTACCATATGTCTTGGAATATCACCATAATATTGTATTGTGAGTTCAGTATCGTGATATGCATCGAATTATAACATGAGGGTATCGTTACACCCTAGTATATTCTGAATTTTTGGAGAGCCCTGACTTGTACCACCTGACCTCTGCAAATTGCAATGCCATGCGGAAACACTCGAAACGGCTGCGGCTTCAGCAGTAAAATGTAGTGAAACAGTTATTTAATAATATTTCTAATAATTCCTATAATTGACTATTGGCAATGTATTATTAATCCATGAACACATACAGTTAAATGTAGCTGGTACAGAGCTGAATAATTTTCTAATGCCCTAAATAAACTATTTATATTCATAATGTTTATTAATAAGGTATTTTCATAACAACTGTTAATTTTCGTATTATAGTTTGATCCATTAATTACTCAAATGGCACAGATTCATTTTGACTTTCATAGTGTTGCCATAGAACATGAACAGCTCCAAGTAGGACGTCCTGGGTTTGTCAGTAATTATGGTAAATCTAGAATTTTGTGAATGCAGCTTTAATTCCAACATCTACTGGCCTGTAAATTGTAATTTATTCTGTAAATATTGTGTAAAATAAGCATTAACAGTTTTGTGCACATATTCATATATTGGCCACCAACTTAAGCCTGGTTCACATGGGACGATTTAAAAATTCTCAGCCGATTTTGAAAATCTGAGAGACCCCATACACAGCGATTAAAAAAAAATCACGGGTCTAACAGTTTTGGTCGTACAGTGTGTGGTGCGCTGCCTCACGGCAAAATCAACACATCACACACAAACCGATTTGACTCCCGAGCATTTCCAGGTCAGAGGGAAAATCTCACGAAATCCCCTGATTTGAAATCTGAGCGGTCGCGACATCCTTCCTAGCAGACGAGAGCAGTCTTAACACACCACACACGGCAGGAATATCTTGCCGTGTGAACCAGTCTTTGGGTATTGATCAGGCCTTTGCTATTAAAAGGCTTGTGTTGTTAACATGAATATAGGAGTGAATGAGGAAAATACTGTCTTGGTATGTGTGGGTTTCCAGTGGAATGAAATAAATATAGGCATGTTGCCTTCAACACAAGTGGGGGGAACAAGGGAAGTTATGCAACTGGTGTTTTAGAGTTGGCTTTGACAAAGTCTTGTCTGGAAAAATGAACATACTCGCACCGAGAGAGAAAACACCCTAGCGATCGTGTTATTGCAGTGGTGACAATCGGAATTGGCTACAGGTGCACCCCATCTGATGCTGCCAGGTTAAGTAGGCCTACTCTACACACCATTTAAAGCACTTGCAAAATGGCCATAGCATGACGTTTGGCAAGATGAGCTTCCAAATGATCTACTCACTCTGGGCTAATTGGCTTTTGATACCGGGCCTCACTGTAACCTGAGAATTGCTGTGGATTTAGA